TAATGAGCCCATTTGGTCTGCCTAAATGATTTTGACGGCATAACACATGTAACAGTCGCAATCTAAATCTTGCAGCAAATTGTCTCGTGGCCAGTGGCACCGTCGTTGTGAGTTCATATATAAACTAGATAAATACCAATGTAGCTACCAGAAGCAAATGTGGTGAGGCAGAATAGCAGTCGACAACACTAGCACCAGTGTATGATTTGTCATAGTAATTCTACTAAGAAGAGATACAAAGAGGCATTATCATTTGTCAACTGGATAGCATTCATAGCTGGGTGTTAGAGACTCAGGATCAGCAAGGTAAAAGGGTGACGTCGTCAGGGCACCTCGGTCCGGCTATAAAGATCAGCACATCTGTAGAATAATTCTCGGTCTCGGGGTCCAGTTCTTTGTTTCTGAGGCCAGATGAACATGACACCCCCGGCTTGCAACATCAGGCGACATTTACTTTCGGCGGTGCGGCGACGGTTACACTTGCTTCAGGGTATTGGTTGAGCCGCCTTTCTGTACATCGCCTTATACTGGGTTGACCAACATGCTCACTGACAGAATACGTCCTGTTATATATCTGCTGATTTCACATTCCGTGCTACACAAAATGCAAGAGAGTTCTCGCCTTCTTAACCAGCCTGGCAACTCAAGACACTACTATTAAAGCCTAATGATATATTCTTTCAGTCTGTTTTTGTGGCTCGTCATTTGAGAAAACAAGCAGTCGATTGGAGCAGGTGACTCCGACTACCAGCAGGTTAGTCCGATCACATGGAGCTAAGTAAAGACCTATTCAACACGGATAATAAATCGGAATTCAGCCCCTCTTTGGCCGACTATCCTCCTCCACATGACATGGTACTGCCGGGCCTATTCACGCCTGCCACGGAAATAGTGGAAGAGTCCGACGAGTTATCTACCCAGACCGGCGGATTTCTCAGCCCGGGTGGGCCGGTCGGCCTTTCAGACTGGCCAGATGCCGACCTGTTTCGACTGCTATTGGTGCCCGGTACTCCCGTGGGTCCCAAAAGTCCCGGCGACTTGTCGGAGCCAACCAGTGGCCTGGGCATCAGCATCCAGTCGCTGCGCGACCAAGTCCCGGCTGACTGGTTGGACACGGGACTATCTCCGAGCGCGACTGGCATGAGTGACGCCAACATGATGCTGCAGATGGGCATCTATCCGACACGCTTCACTGAAGGCGGCGCCTACACTCTGCCGGCATTGACTTCGGCTCTGGGAAATACCGACTGGCCGGCGGCTGGTGTGGCGACCAGCGGAAGTCGTACTCTGCCCACATGTACGACTGATCGAGTTCCGATCCCACCGGCTCATCTGCCCCAGCCAGGCGTTTTTC